GGACGGGGAGGGGAGGAAAGGGTGGGACGACAGCCGCCGCCGGCCTCACCGCGTCCGTGCTGCCCGTGCGGGAGCCTCCCGGGGCCTTCCCCTCGGCCCCCTCCCCTGCAAAGGCCTCCATCGCTCCCTCTACGCTTCCCAGGGCATCGACGGCTGCCCTGCTGTAGCGATAGAGGAGGAGGGTGGCGAGGGAGCTCCCGAGGACGAGGAGGAGGGCGGCCAGAGCCAAGGCCTGGTTGAGGCGGAAGAGGACCGAGGGGGAGGACGGGGGCAGAGCGAAGGAGCTGTGCGGGGGGTAGGGGAGAGGAGCGATGGCTATCCGTGAGTATGCTTCGAGCTCCCGTCAAGAATGCACTGGCAGTCTCGCCTGCCCTCCCTCCCTCCCTCCCTTCCTCCCTACCTCAGCTCTTGCAGCGTCATGTTCCCCGCGTTCCTAGGCGCGCACTCCCCCAACCGGCACTCGTCGAAGACAATGCCCTTGAAGTAGGCGTCGAGCACCGCCTCGTGCATCACGCAGGAGTCGCCGTCGGCCTCGCAGATCAGGTCCAGGGTGCCGGTCTCCCCGATGCTCGCCAAGAGCTGGAGCATCAGATCGATGCAAAACGCGTCCTCAGCCTTGTCGCAGAGGGCGGTGCAGGAGCTCTGCTGGCACTGCATGCCCACACGGGCCCCGCCCGCTGCCCCTGGCGAGTCCTTCTCCTTGCTGAGCAGGCACTGGCGGCCCGCGCACGAGAAGACTGGTCGAAAGATACCCGGGGAGGGGTTCGCGAAGACTGTCAGGTCGAGCAAGCCAGCATCCGGAGCAGGCGTCGCTGAGGGAGGCAGGAGAGGGGGGAGGAAAATTCCAAGAAGTGGAGAAAAATTCCCCAGAAGCGTGAGCGTCGTCGCAATGCCCGGACGGCACCCAGACCGTCTCCGAGAGCGCTCCACCCCCTCAACGACCCTCAGACCCTACGCTGCCTCTCCCTTTTCTCGTCCCCTTCCTGAACCTTCCACCCTGCCCATATACCTCCTTCGCTGTCGGTCATGCCCATTTGCAACGCCAGGGTTCCAGCTCCCCCCAAAAAATCCGCGAAACCCTTGGTGAAGATGTTGCAGACCCCTTCGAGCCGCTGGTACATCGGCAGTGCATGTCGACACAGCTGCCCAGAACCGCACACGGAGTCATCTGTGCACACCTGGAAGACGTGGGGCGATGAGGCGAGGAAAAGAGCGCGCGTATAAGGCACCCTGCATGTAGATGCTAGGAAGCAGACGTGTGGTCTCTGTAACAAAGGATCAGGGACTACCGTCATTCCCTATCGTAGCGAAATGCAAAGAAAATATACCCGCTCATCCTCTGCCGAATGATTTGGCTTACACGACATTCCGGTCCTGTCCAATTGTCCACGCAGACGCACGCAGCATCTTCCGAAGGAGGCAAGGCTGCTTCGGAGCTTTGTGCAGCACATTGGATGGGAGGATCCGCTGAAGAGCACGCGACGACGAAGAGCAGGAAGAAGATAAGATGTATTATGATGGGTATTCTGGAATGCCAGAAGCTTTTTGCGGGGAAATACGCCTTCCGGGGTAGATTTCTTCTTTTCCCTTTCTCCTCCACAACCAGGCAGCCCTGCGCCATCTATATAAGAAATGCGTGCATTGCTGTCAAAAAGGAATCTATCATCGTATCACGACCAAGTACATGCACAAGTTTCCTTACAATTGCCAACGTGTTCACGAGAGGGTCCTTCCCGAGTCTCTTTGGGTAAAAGTCTGCTATGTCGTCTCCGCCGTCCGACAGACAGCTCAAGACTCGCCGAGGGCGCGAAAAGCGCAAGCCTTGAGAGCAGGGTCGTAACCCCTGCTAATGGTCATCGATGGGTCACCAATCATTGGTGAGATTTCATTCATGAATGACGCTTCAGCTAGTAAGGGTGGCCTGGAAAAATGTGTGGGCTTCTAATTTTGGGCCTGAAAATGCATTTTTGACACTCCAAAGTGCGTTTTTGCCTGGGGTTTCGCCCCAAAGCCCGCGAGGCACCCTTAGTCCCTCCTAAGCCCCCCTTTGATCCCCCCTAGTTTGGACATCGCTCCTTCAGGGCGGGCACAGTCTTATGCATGAGTCATGACTGACTATCGATTCATTGGCCTTCAATCATGAATGACCAAATATTGGTGGGGGTGACGGCCCTGCTTGAGAGGAGACCCGCCCTGCCGAGAAATCGTCTAAATACCGGACATGCTGGAACATATACATTCCGAAGACACTGGTTTCTACGAAATCCATGCGATCAAAGCGTGACAATCGACGTCGCGCACCGTGGGGTCATTCTGCAGCAGGCAAGGGAGGACGACGGAGAAACTGGCCCTCTCATGGGCAAGGTCGCGAGCCGAAGATTTGCTGTCAACGCACTTTAATAGTACGAGCGATCCACGCGCGTTCAAATGCAAAAGGAAAGAAAAATGAAGCAACCAAAGCATGGGAAAGGAGTGGCTTATTGAATGGAACAGGAGACAACCGCACCGATGGTTGCGTTTGATGGGCTTTAAATCAGTTGTAGATTGGGATATGTTACGCCGGGCTCGGAATATTTTGACCATCCCCATTTGAAGTGGGAAGGCGGACAATAAATCTCCACACCGGGGTGAAACCAAACAGCGACCCGGCATGAATTCATAACTCGTTTTCCAATCGTTCTACATGTATGGCAATTGTTTTCGTGAGTTGCATGGTATGCCAGTGTATATAGAGGCCAATGCAGGGCACAGACATCTCAAGAATGCTTTCCTCGCCGCGGAACTCGGTAAATGCATGTCTCCGGTCCTACGGTCCAAAAGGCCGACCACTGTGACTCGTTCTGAATCTCTGCTTTGGGGAGACGGCGTGCAGGCCATCAACTAGGCTCGGAAAATCGAGGTTTCACATTCTTACTTGGTAATTTTTGTGTTGCGTGACGCAGGTCTTTGTTTGGAAAAGCCCTTTAATTTCCTATTGGCTCTTTTCTCTCCCAAGTCAGCAACGACTGCCGTACCGGTGGGCTGATCTCGCCGCAGGTACAGCATCGCCATGGACACTCAAAAAAAATATCAAGACCTTGGTACATCATCCAAGAATAAGTCCTGTCAGAAATGCTACGATTCAAAGGTAACGTGTCCCAGCATGCCCTGAACTCTTCACCTTTTTTATTTTTCCGGCGGCCGAGGAGATGCCCGGGCCCCCCCACCCGGACTTTATTTCACCCACGGATAGACTATAATGAGGAGACCAACACCCTCCCCCCCTTACACATGCATGCTTACAGAGTAAATGCGACTTTAGCCTTCCTTGCGAGAGGTATGTGTGAGAAAGTCGGTGGGAAAGGAGTACTGGGGGCCGCCCTCAGCCAGAGACGTACAGGGGACATAAATTCACACAGACTTGGGCGTACACTCGGACATTCCATTTTCAAGGCATAGACCTGTCACGTCAGCCTTGCAATCACATGTACACCCATACCGTCGAGTGCCCCTCACTGCTTGCGGTTCACCGTGCCTGTCTCTAGGGAGTCAGCTCGGGAAACGTGTCATCTCTTCGGCTTCTCAGCATTCTTCCCATCACGACGCTCTACCTCCCACCGCAGGTGCTTCCGCCTAAATTTACCCTGCCGACCGCGAGTCCGTGGCTCTATGACCCACTCAGCCTCCAAGAGAACCCGGGGTTGTTCCAAATCAGCGTTGGGAGACGAGGCAACCGGAAGCCCCTGTTGGCCTCCGCAGGAAAGTCTGCCCCGACTAGGCGGGCCTGGCAAAGCGCCAAGGGTCGGTCAGGAAGGCAGGCAATGGGCAGGAAGAGACAGCTACACCAGCACCGAGGCCGCTAGCGAGGACGGGGAGGAGGACGAGGGCGAAGGGTGCCAACCCGAAGGCTCGAACGCGTACCGGCGGGACTGTGCGTGGGGACTGCTGCTGGAAAGGGCACGCTATGACTTTCAGCGTAGCATGGGTACGCAACCGTCGGGAGAGGAATCGCCAATAAAGGCTCAGCCTTCTAGGGCATCGGCGAGCAAGGAGGAGGAAAACGACGGGACGGGCAGAGCCTCTTGGAGACCATCCTGGAGCGGGTGGACAGGTCCCGCATGGCCGAAGAGTTCCTAGACGCCTTCCATGCGGTGCAGAGGCGGGGAACGGTTCACCGAGGGGGGATGGTGGGTATGCTCCGTCATTGGAAGAAGCTCTCTGACCTGTCTGGGCAGGATCTGACGCTCGGCGTGGGCGCTGCCATCGCCAAGGCGTTTCATGTCGAGCAATGGGAGCTCAGGTACCGCAGGAGAAATAAGGTCATCAACCGATCCGAATCCTCGGCCGGGAACGTTAGCCTTGGGAGCACGCCAACTTCCAATTCCTCGCAAGGGCAGCTCTCGTCCAAGCGGTTTCTCACGGCCGTCAAAGAGGGACCTCGGGGATTGCTTCTGGAGGAATTGATGGCTGTGGAGGCCGGTGCCGCGCGACTCAAGGCGTCTCCCCTCTTCCGGGAGCGCGACGACGGGTACACGGGCCTACTGCTGATCGAGGTGGACCGAACGGAGGACCGAGTCATCGTCGCCAGCAACCAGGCCTACCTGGACGTCTTCTTGGGCCCCGGCTTCCTCCTCTCCGAGGGCCTGGCGCGGGGCTGCCTTGACCCCTTCCTGTTTGCGGCCTTTGTGGCCCATAGCGACAGAGACACCTGGTTCCGCATGAACCTGGAGGCCCTCTGCTCGCCCCGCTTCCGGCCAGAGGGAGGAAGCTCGAGGGAAGGGGTGCCTCCGCGAGAAAGACTGCTGTACTCGGAGTTTTTGAAGATCTTCAGTCGGGATGGTCACGTGCGTCTATATTGGGCGCGTCTCGCCCAGCTGGAGGCGACCACGAGGGAAGGGGAAGAGGAGAAACTTCACTTCCTATTGTGGATGGAACCGGTGCCCGCCTCCAGATACATCACAGACCGCCCGGAGAAGGCCACGCACAGCAAGACTAAGCTTTTCAAGCGGCGGCCTCATCCGAAGATTGGGTCGTCATCGTTGACGGTGGCGGCGGATGGTGAAAAGATGGGGGAGAGGCCATTGGAGCAGGATGTTCCCGAGGGACAAAAGGGAAATGGAGATTCGTCAGGCTGCGGGGAAAGGCAGCAGGTCGCTCAACAGAAAAGCGGCCCGCCAATTTTACTCTTCCCTGCTTTAGCCTCCGTGCCTCTCCCTCCAGGGGTCACCCTTCCTTCTTTCCCGTCGAGCTGGACCATAAGCACTGACCAAGCCAGGACAGGGAGACAAGCCGCCGCCTTTTCTCCGTCGTGCTTCCCACCGCTTGCCTCTCCCTCTCCTTTCACACTCCATTCCTCTGACTCTTCCCCGCAGCCCCTTGCTTCAACGCTCCCGCACATTTTTGAGATCAAGAGCGAATTTATTAGAGATCTACTCCGCACTGCCCATAAGTCCGTACCTGCGGCCAAGGCGCATGGAAAGGACACCGTGACGAATTCTGTCATCGATGCCGAATGTAAACGGGTCACAAATAAGCAAAAAGTACGGCGAAATAAATTTCTTTTAAGTAAGATTTCACGCTCGCAGGAGCAAAACGAGGTTCGAGAAATCTTTCGAACGACTGCAGGGCCAAAGCATCTGCCGCCCCAGCACGAGCAACAACAAGAAGAACAAAAACAAGAAGAACCACAAAAACGACAACAACAACAACGACAACAACAACCACCACCACCAGGGCAGCCACAGGAACAGCAGATGCCCATCTTCCCATTTTCAAAATCATCCCACTGCCTACCATCCGGTATGAGCATAGGCTGGGAGATGGAGCAGCAATGCCAGAGGCATCCACTTGTCTTCCTGCACGCACATCAGAAGATTTGCTCGGGAGGGGAGCATCCTCCACCCTTCGGACAGACTAACTAGGAGTATGACTTGAACGTCGGTGCATTCATGCTTTCACCTGCTGCGATGTCGAACGACCAGCAGCTTAAGGAGCACCATGTAACACAGATAAAAAACCATGAGGCATGGTATCCTGCTTCGGTTGGGGCAAAGCGACGACAGTATGCAGAGAAGCAAAAGCATTTTAGGGAAAATTTCCAATATGTGGACGTTAATTCACAAGAAAGCAATGAAGAACATCGGCAACCCTTCTTACGAAGGCAATTTCAACACGAGCTAGAGCAAGGATGTTCCATGTCTTGTTGGCCGCCCTCGACGCCATGGCAGAGAGTCCAATCACGACCAACGCAGCAAGAAGAGCACAGGCAGCCGCTATCTTCGATACCACACTCTAAATCAAGGTTAGGGACTGGACTGTTCTTACTTAGCATGGCAGCTGCGCAGAGCAATTGTGACGTTTGATATAATGGTTCGGAGAAACATTGGACACTTTCTGATGATTCACGAGAATGTGGAAAGTAAGGTATGAGGAGCAACAAAATTAGGCCTGTAAAATGACTGCTTGTAATAAGAACTTTGTGTTGGTCTGAGGTTTCCCTCACTTTGACACGGATAACTCATTGTAGGAAGATGTTAACATGAGTAGCAGAGAGCATCATTGAGAGTTATAGAAGACGGTCGAAGTTGTAGAATACAAAGAAGAGTGAAAAGGATGGAGTTAATGTTGTAATGACGCATCTTGAAGTTGAGGTGAAATCAGGTTCAAAATGAAAAAGAGGCTTAAGTTTTGGGTCAAAATTAAGGGTGAAGGTAATCTGTCTAAAAAAGAATACAACACAGGAGAGATAAATTGATAACTCTTAAGAAAACGCTGAAAAAGGTCTTATAAAGTCAGCTTCAGCAATGCAAATAATTTTAGCATGTTGACCATATCGCGAGTCCGTGAAGTTATACACGTCCATGCCCAGATGCTAGAAGACCCAAGAGTGTAAACATAGTTTTGAATGCGGCTTCACAGATTGCTCTGTTTTCTTTTTTTTGGGTGTGTACACATCCAACTCTACAAATCCAGTCATCTATACATCCTGGCTATTTAGAATGCATCGCTAATAATATCACTTTCTTGTACTCGTCGCGCTTTAAGCCGAGCTTCTCTATGAGCTACACTTGTACACACGAGCTCCTTTTCATCGGCATAAAACGCCACTTTTTAGCATCCTCATCATCGATTGAAAGATTTAAATGGAGGAAGGGAGAGCGTCGTTCTTCCTCGTCAAAGGCCTTGAGGATTTGATGAGACCAGCGTCTCTGAACGGGCTGTGTTCACTGTTCATCTGAGGTAGATAAATGGGTCACTGGTGTCAATCACTTAGATTGTCAAAGGAGAGACCGCAAATCTATCGCATGATCCATCAAGCTATTAAGAAAATCCATTTTTCGGAGCCCATCTGTACGTGCTTTCCCGGAGCAATTACACCCGCGTCTCACCTGCCCTTGACACTCCGCATAGTAAGCCTCCCTTTCCGCAATGCTCATAACTGCAATCGCTAGCATCTCTTGCACCAAATCATAGCAAAACGCCGCATCACGGCAGTATGTTTCAAAGCGGTGCAGCGCATCCTCCCAACCAGCCCCAATTCCTAAATTCCTGTGCGGACGATAAATACGTTGAAGATCTTGCTCCAGGTGCTGCTGATGATGATACTCTTCATGTAGCTGCTCTCGCATTTCCCGCTGATACTGCTGTTGGACTTGCTGCGCGTGTTGCTGATTAAGAAGGTGGTTGTGCAACCAAGCGAAACCTGCAGAAGCGGCCACTCGGACGAAGACAGCGCCCGATCTATATAGGTAGGATGCGTTGGAAATGGACAGGCAAGTGAGACAAGGGCTTCTATTTGAAATACCACAGGTGAATGAAAGCAAAGAGAGCGACGTACCGATGGTAGTACTGACGGTCAGCGCATCCTTTCCTCCTTATCCCACTTCCCATCGACCTTTGGGTCACCGATTGATTCGCCTCCTGTAGCGCCTGCTGTTCATGCAACGAAGTGGCTAGTGCACTAACGCATTCCCGTCCCTCTTTTCTATCCTCGAGCAAGTAAACTTCACGCCAATTCGTCTTTCGTTCGTCGTCTCGCACAAAACCGAAGAGCTGAATTAGGGCCTCCTCGCAGATACTAGAAAGGTAAGGATAAACATGAATGCAAATGACCGATGATGATGCGATGGAGTGCATCAACAATAAGATAGGCCATCAGAGAAGCGACCACATATACATATGAATTCCATACCGGAGCAGTGCTGGAGGGTAGATGGCAACAAATGGATGGGCCAGGAAAGGGTGTACGTTCAAGTTTGAGGAGCGAGAATACTCAGGCAGTGGCACCAAATGCAGTCCCAGCTGATAAGTGATTAGGGAAAGAGAAATGGAAGGGAGTCTCATATTCGCCCAAGTAGCCCCCATAACTGCTTTTGAATGATTTTTTCCATAACCACCGATCAATGACGCTCCATGAACTTCATCCCCTAGGAGTACCTGCTGCGCTTTCCTCAGAAGAGCTGCGACGAAGTCTCGAGCATTTTTGGCTGAGCAAACAAGCCAATTAATGTCCAGATGGAAGGCACGGCAAGGATCGAGGAGCTGCACCAAAATAGGAAAAAGAAGACTGCTGAATATTCGATGTCAGCTATAGGATACCCAGAGTCGCTACGCGGTTTATGGCATACCTTATCGCAGGACAGCACAAGCCACTCTTGCCGCGTGCTCTGAGGCCCCACCGATGGCAGAGGGATGTGTGCAGCCATAATTGCATTCGATCGTCTACTCTCATTGACCATCTCTTTGTTTCCTCCCCTTCTCAGCTGGTCTTCTTTTTCCGGAAAGCCCCGACTTATCACATCCAACGGAGGACTACCCTTGAGACGACGCCGATTCACATGCCCAAGTAGCTCTTGAACCCTCTGTATGAAATCTGCATGAAGAGAAACGAGCGAAGGGGAGAACAGGTACATATTTCAAAAACTCTGCAGGGCTCCCCCGAAGGATTATGCCACTCTTAGAAGTTTGCACAAAAACCCTAATGTGAACCGCACTTTTTGTAGAGACACTACTAGCTAAACGATTGCAAGGCAATAGATTATTCTTATGATCCTTTCGCATTCAACTCATTATTATGATCTTCCTGCTTCACCGTCATATCCTACCTTCTTCGTTGTCGTCCTCTGTTTGGCGGCACATGGCGTACAGCTTCCGCCTGTACTTTGTCTCTGGTCGCAGAAGGTCCTCTATCATAACCAAGGAAACGAAGAAAAGAGGAGTTAAAGGTACATCAGCAATGCGTCAAAATTGTGCAAACGAACATAGCGTTTCCATTAGCAATGTTCCCATTTCTAGTCACAAGTCACCTGGAGCATCGTTATAGCCACAAATAAGTTCGTCAACATAGTTCCACTTGTATTCCGGCGTCGGGAAGCGGTAAAAATCTTGCGTCACTGCCTGGAAGCGACCAGTCTAGATGGAAGGCGTAGTTGTAATGAAAGTCAATGAAAAATGAGAGACTGCGCCAAAGCTGACTCAAAGCTTTAAAAACGTACATGAGGGACCCATATCTGGTATCGGTATCGGTGATGATTTTGAGGCGAATTCGCGTTGCTTCCTTGTCTATCCAGGAAGTGCTTCACGTCCACCTGTAGATAGATTCCACCGTAAATGATAAGCAAGAAAAACAGTGTGACAAGACGCAGGCTTTGGAGAGAATCGACCCAACCGTCGGGCGCTCTGTCATTCCAACCATGTGCCTACATTCTCACACTCTCCCACCTGCCGCGTTGATTCGTCATAAGACAGGACATGAATGCGGTGACCCATGCTCAAAGTGTACACGGCGCGTTTCCCACCTCCCTCCCGCCCTTTCCTTCCCACTCCAATTCCTCCCGCCCCTCCTCCTGGCAGGGCGCCAAAGAGCCGGAGGAGACTCGCTGCTGGGCTACCAGGACTCGTCTCAACAAGTTGAAAGTCTTGCGCGAGGCTGATTGTAAGGAGGAAAATAGCGCGAATGAGAGCAGCAAGAAAAAGTTGTGCTGTCATGCAATAATGAACACGTTCCCTGAGTCAGAGGGTAAGCATAATAAGAAGGGTAGAAAAAAAGTAAAGCAAGCGACAGTTTTTCTTACCGCTGGCAGACCATTTCCTCCAAAAGATCAGCATGTGAGCGACACATTGCCTGCGCATGACTGTTGCCAGTACCTGAAGGTGTGGTTGCCTTGGGACTGCATGGCAGGGGAAGGTGGAAATATTATGAAATTTTTTAGCATAAAAATATGCACAGCACATACCGTGCACAAAAATCCGACAGTACATATGTCCACTCCCACAGTACATTTCACCTAGCTGAATCCGCCAATGTGCTGGGTTTTCTTCCGGCTTTCAACGATGCCTCCTCCTCCAATCCCGGTACTTGTCCTTCCTAAACATACCTGTCATCTCCCTCAGGCAGCATGAGGGTATAGAAGCTCTCAGTGTAATCCTTCCGCAATTGCTCTGGCGTGGGCAGGTAATCCGTCGTCAACGGAAGGATTGCGGGTTGGCAAAGGCTTTTCCAGTTGGGGCCTAGGGGAAGAGGAAGGATATGAAGAATTGGTAAGGAAGAGACGTCGGTAGAAGAAAGCTACTATTAGACGACAAACCTGGGGAGTGCTTAAACTCCACCTCGCCCGGGGGGAAGACGTGGGACCACCTACATAGAATATATTAATGTTTATTCCGTTAAAAACGTCAGAGAAATAGAACGCGAGCATCATCTACGAGCTTTTAAATTATCACGTCTCTCCGGCCCGATCCTTCCGTGCCCTATTTCTCCTCTCGTTTACCGTCGATGGTTGTGCGTTCGCTTCTGAAGCAGCTCTGCCTCGTCTTCCCGTCGAAATGGGTTGATGGTGCCCGCCTTATCCCTTAACCCCACAGGTCCTCCTCCTGTAGCCCCTCCACTCGACGAATATCCCAAACCGGCAGTTGTGGAGGAGGGTTGACTGGGGAAAGAATGGTGACTGCGTGAATTGTGCGAGTTCCCAAGCGAGGTCAGAGAGCTGCGACTTATAGATGCATGCAATATTCCACTACTCCTTCCACGCTCCCTCATCGCTTCCTTTCCGGCTAAAATGGAGCTGTTCGGCGTGCGTCCACCCGACAAGGGTCGATTGGAAGACATCGAAACTGGCGAACCACCTGAGTTAAAGAAGCGAAAAAAGATATATTATTAAATGCTCACCGCGCTAAGCTATTCTTAACCTTGCAGAAACTCATAACCAAACTCGAAACTAGGCTATTAAACAGTTCCTACTGTCTCCATTCCAAAGCTTCTCTGATCCTCCGTACCAAGTTCTACTCCATCCGAAGCCCGTGTCGGAGGCGTTGTTGCAGCTGCCGACAAAGCCGAGAAAGAGGGAGATGGCTTGGGGATTTGAATGCCTTTCCTGTCGGCCTCTTTTCGTTCTTCCCGCCCTTGCTCATATCTGTCTTCCACCTGCCCAGCGGCTTGATGCATGGAGCTACACAAGGAGTTCGTTCTTATAAGCGGAGTGTCTGAAGAAAAATTAAAATGCGGGAATGAAATACTCATTAATGGCGAACAAACAAAAGTGACACCAAGAGGATGAGAGGAGAAGCCAACAATATCCGAACGAAACGAAAGTGCTTTAACAAAGTAGGGCTGTATAAGCCGTGTAAACAGAATAGCCCGGCCACTCGAAGGCAAGAAGTTGAACGCATGCATTCGTATGAGCCTGTCAGGTGCATTCTATTGTTCCAGCTGTTTTCTCTGTGGTAACGTTCTCCCGCTATTTCATGCACCCCTTCTGTCTTACCTTCAGTTGCCGAAGAAGAGAGAAAGGTGAGACTTGTGGTGCTTGACGGAGGCTTGCAGGAAGTTTCAATTGTCGAATGGCCTACAAAGGCGGATCGCATTCCAAGAGGCGAGCAGTCAAGGCCCTGTCAAGGAGATTAATTTGCGGGAAGGCCATTCAGCAAACAGCGAATGCGAAAATAGAAAGAAGTTAGAAAGATGTTACAGTAAACTCAACAAGAATAAATTCACGCACCATTGTCGATGACACTGATAAAGGCAGCCTGCCATGCTCCTGCCGTTCCAAGCACACATGCTGCCTATGATCCAGGCTTTCCTCGAGCAGCGGTTGATACTGGTCTTCGTGATGAGACCACGATCCTGGGATGGGACGTGCCTTTCCCCCGTGATTTCCGTTCCACTTATTTTTGGGTACGAGAGAAGAAAGTAAGGAAGGAGAGCCTGCCTGAAGGTCGACAATGCTCTGCGTGCTACTGCTGCGATTGAGGCTGCCTACATCATGCTGTAAATACAATTCATGAGTCTGAATTAATATTGTCCAAACGGAAGATGGAAAGATCGAATGGAAACACGAATAGGTAAAGCTGTTAGGATCGGTACAGTCATGCACAGTGATAAGCACACTTACAGGTGGCAAACTTTTGCTGCTTGCTGTCGGTGGCCGAGAAAGGGGCGGTGGAGTTGAAGGCCGAAAAACAGCCTGGTCGTGTTGTGTCATAGCCTCTAGGATGTCTTTTGGCCGTTTTTCAAGCATTTTCAACGTTTCTGATGCGTATTTTTCGTCTGATACTCCCACTCTCCCTCCTTCGTTCTCCTTTCGCAGAACTTTACTAAGCCCGGAAGGTGTAGAAAAAACAGGCTGCTCGCGATAAGGGGTGGCGGGCTTTGAAAATCTGCCGCTGCCTTGCTCACCGCCCGCTGCCATCGATTGCTTTTGTTGCAATGCCTTGGATGCACCGTCACTCCGGCTTCTCCCTACAGCCTTGAGAGGAGGAACGAGGGGAGGGAGCAGGGCTAGGCCACTAGTTGTAGCACTGCCGATACTTCTACTTCGAGATGGGGTGCGCCCAGCCGACTGTTGAGCCCTCTCAGGCGTCTCACTCTGACTACTCCAGTCCGTGCTCTCCCTCACGCCTAACGCTTGGCACAGATGAAGGCGCAAGGGTGGGATAGCAGAACAAGATCTGGGAGGCAGCTCATGCTGACTTCGCTTGCTCGCTTTTCTGTCTTTGGCCTCAAATGCCTCTTCTCTCCCAGTCCCGCGCTGTTTGCCCTCTGTTTCCGTTCCGACGTCCTCCAAGGGGGGGAGGGAAGCGAGACTTGGACCAAAGAGAGCGGCATGCAGGGCTGGAGGAAGACAAGGAGGCAACGCAAGCACGGAGGGGGACACGGGTTCACCAGGTATAGTTGGTGCGTCGTCGGTAGGGGAGGAACCTCGGGCAGCATGTGTGGCCCAGAAAGAGGGAAGGGAAAGAGGGCGGAAGGAGGATGGGAAAAGGTGCTTGTCCATGGCCATGGCTGAATGACAAAAAAAAGAGAGGGAAGGATCGGGAAAAGGGAACAGAAGAATTGAGGTAGGGGGCATACAGACGGCCCACAATCTTGCTTCCACGTGAGTCTTAAAGACCCTTTGGACATAAAATCTAACAGAAGTCGTTGTTTCACAGCCATCCTCCCTGCTTACCCAAAATATGGTAGTCTAAATGTTCTTGATGTTGATGAGACCAGCAGTCTCCCCCTTCACGTCCTCCGTCTCTTCCTCCTTGCCTAAAAGCCATGCCGTTGGGGAGTAGTGACGGACCGAGAGATGGTGGGGGGACAATGCTTTTCTCTCTCACTCCCTCCAATAGTCCTTCCATTCCCTCTATGCCCCTTGGACCATATGTCCCTGTTCTCATGCTCCAAGGCACCTCGGAACTACCGGAAAGAATGGAAGGACTCTGTCGCTGCTGGAACGCAGGCAAGGATGAGGACGAGGACGAGCTTGTCGAAGGCAGTAAAGATGAAAGAGGATTGTCCGTTGTAGAGAGGCCTTCGGAGTTAAAGTAGGAGATATGCATCCAGTGAGGCACTTCAAAGAGCGAGCTATCTCTAATTGTATCGAAAAATTGAAGTGATGTGTCGCGGAATGAGCAGGGATCAATGGCGCTCAAGAACAAACTATGCTGATGTTGTGAGCGCTTTGAGAAAAAGTAGGGGGGAGAATGCCAAACAGTAGAGCCACGCTTCCTCAAAAGCAAAAGAGAAGGGGGCACCTTTCCGTGTTGAACTTGTCCCTGCAAATAAAGAGGGGTACAATATGGAGGGGCGGCTGGGCGAGCGAAAGCAGATCCATGCCTATCCCATCATCCATCATACGCTGCTTGGTAATGTCAGAGAGTTTCGAATCCACCTGGGAGAGAGGACAGGCAATGTGCATGCGCTTGGTTGAGACCAATTGTGCGATACGTGGTGAAAAAAGGGGAATCCCAAAATACAGGGACCCTGGATTCTACTCGGTAAATTACCTCAATGATGCCTGTGGAAGGGGATATCATCAAAATACTGTTTCCGGTACGCGTCAGGTCCCTGTCCATGTAGTGCTTCTCAAGCACATTTAACGTCACATTGATGGCCTCCAAAAAATTGCCACGTGCTGCTTTCGCAGGCACACCTGTCCCAAGAGTTGTGAGGATGTAGAATGCGACAAGAAGGGTGACACCTACAAGGCCACTGCTCCAGCACACGGTGCAAGTTGTTCTTGCGTGCCTTTGTTACCCTCCTAGCCTGCCCTTTCATCAGCTTGCGATATATTCACCTGTCCAACCTTGCGCTGTTTTCCACCGTAGCACCTTCGCAAATGCTAGAGCTTCCTTTTTCAGGGTCGTCAACAATTTTTGAGTCTCTATCCGGCTTTCATTTTCCAATGCCATCCTGTAGAAGTCTTCATAAATTGCGCTTCCAACCCCATGGCCTTTTTTAGACGCAGTAGGCGTCCCGTTGACCTGTGAGAACTGGATGCTCTCATCATTTCTGCTTCGTCCCCCCATAAGAAGGAAAATTAGACACAAAAACTGTATTTTATTGTTTCACGACGCAACATCTCAGCCACAGTCCACGATGTCTACACTGCTAATACCGTAGCTTACCTGAATAATCCTCCCATCTGAGGTTTCGGGGAGAAGGAGGAAGCACAAATAGCAGGGTCTTGCGAGCATTGTCGAGACCTTGTGACTCCCTCAGGCCCTTTCTGATGCCAGCTGAACGACGGCGGGGGAGACTTGACGGGGGGAGATGCGGCGATTGTTGCTGTGGCGGGCGGCAAGAAAGGAGAGAACGAATTGAAAGGCTCGAACGGGCGATCAGTATGCAAGTGTGGAGGTGCATCGGTCGATCTAGGTGCAGGATGTGTTGAGGATGACAAGGACGAGGAGTGGGCGTTGGTAAGGACTTGTTTAGTGCGCTCCGGTCGTGGAAGACTGATCGCGTCGGATGATTCTTTTCCCCTAGTGATTTGCTCCTTTGTTTCCGATTTTTGTCCCCCCGCTGCTTCCATTCCAGGAGCGACAGTGGTTTGTTTCGTTGTTTCCGATTTTTGTCCCCCTGCTGCTTCCATCCCAGGAGCGACGGAGCCAGAAAATGAATCCGCGAAAGCGGGAGGATGGTAGTAGAGTCGGGTAAAGAAGACGACAGAAAGGGAATGCGAAACGTCAAGAGCCCGCCAGTTTTCCAGCAGCAGGCGTGCGAATGAGAGGAATTTTTCCAGGTATACTGTGTTTTTTTGAAAAATGGAGTGACGACGAAAGATGAAGCAAGAAACTGGAGAAGACTGTGCTAAAGGCAGGGACCCACAGACTTCCTCACTGTCTTCCTTTCATCCATTCCGCTGCTATACCTTCTCCGTCCGGGGCATAGTCCCACATCTCGTAAGACATCTGTACGAGCCAGAAAATGCGAGCTGAGCGGGACCTGTTCAAAATGAGGACAAAAGAGAGGAGTAAACGGGGCAGATATAAAGATCGCGAGAAGGGCAAGCGAGAAGACAGGAAAACAGCAGAGGGCATACCGAAATGTCATCTTGGTATCCGCCGTGAGTAAGCCGCTACAGACTGAGCTCTCCCCTCGGGAAAGCTCTTTGACGCGGGCACGGATGCCTAATGGCAAAACCAGAACGGAAGGTTGAAGGCAAAGCGAGAAAGGAAGTATATGTTTCATAGAGGATAAGAGCCTGGAGGGCGAAAAGGGCAAGAGAGGGGAGAGAAACAGGAAGGGAAGTACCGATCGTATTGATATGTTGTCCAAGATACGCCGCTTTGCCCCCCGAGGAGGTGGTGATGGCCTGCTTGAAACGCCTGGAATGGTTAGGAAAAGTTCAAGTTGCTTTATCGTTATTGTTATTACAAAAAGAGGAGTAGTCTCTCCAAATATCAGCTGCCAATGCCAGTAGGTCAGGTCTCGGAGCACCTGACCATGCTGGACGGGTCTCTCTAGCCCTGTCTTTCCGTCTTACAACACACTGCCCTTACCCCCCGTCAAAGTGCGGTCCTCGGGCAAAGCTTTAATACCTCCTCACCTACCACATATCTGCGCGGGAAATAAAGTCGTCTTTAAAAACCAGCTCGACAAAATCCAAACGAGCCTCGCTTGGCTCGGCCTTGTGGACCTCCACCTTGCTCCATGGGGAGGAAATATTGAGGCATGGTGGGGGGTTGGATCACAATCCATTGGCGCCGAAAGCGTATTTTAAATCCACCTTTTTCGTTTGGTCTCGCGTCTTACCTCTTGATAAGCATGCAGACCGAAGGCCTCTGCCACAGACTTGAGAATCGAAATCTGCATCCGTGCTACCTGTGGTCGCAAGGCCGCCAGGACAGAGAAGAGGAGAGAGCGAGCCATCGTAAAAGGAGACACAGAGTGCAAAAAGATAGTGAGAAGCTCAGGACGTGATATTTGAGCCTGAAGAGTCAGCGAAAAATTTGCCCAAAGGAACGTTCCCAGACACGTCACAAGAAAATTCGAGGACCAGGGACCAGTACAGTCCCCGTACTTTACCTTGCCCGCAGGAGGAATGGAAGTCACTTGCAAAAATATATTGTTGCTGCTACTACTACCCTTGTAACTGCGCTCGACACTTTTGCTTGCTGTCGGCGCCTCCGATGTCAGTGAGGTAGATGGCGGCGATGCGCGTGCTTGGCGGTCTGTGCGGGAAGGGCCCATGCCGATGCCCCCCATGATCCCCTCCCCGGTTACTTCGTGCTCTTTTCCTCCAGTCTGCGGCCTTCCCACATCAGCTCCCTCCAGCGTCTTGTCCTCGGTGAAGCCTTTTCTGCTGCTGCTTTCATTAGCTTGCCTTCCCGAGAGGCCTCCTGTGTTATTCCGTATAATCATCTCCCCCGGTGCCATTCCCGTGTTAGGACCAAGAACGTCCTTAGAGCCATCTGATGACGATTGGAAATCGCTCTTATGCCTAGAGCCTCCTCCCTGCATGACCTCCTCCGGGCTCTCTGTGTCCCCAAGGCCCTCACCACCGTTTCGAGCTTGAGACATCAAGTGCGCAGACGTGCTACCCTCTGATCGCCCTCCCAGGTCGTTCCCTCCCGTTGTTGAGCCACTTTCTCCAACCCTCTCTACTGATGATGGTATGGAAGAAGATGCGTGGGCCGAGGGAGACGATGAAGGCGAGCTGCTGGAGGCAAAGTTGTAGGAGAGCGGGATGATCTCCAGGACGTCGTGGAGGGCGATGAAGGGAAACACGTCCGGATTTATAATCACCTCCTCAGAAGAAAACGAAAGTTCATGAACGTGTAGCGAGTATGCGGATGCTGCAGCTGTTTTGCTCGGTGGGCCATGGAATTGGTGCCGGGGAGGAGCCTTTACAGGCCCTGTGCGATTACCAGCAACGGCAGGAGGCGACGGTGCGCGCAGCATCTCTGTTGCTAGAACTTGGACAGAAAGCTATTGAACAGGCATGAAGTTGAACTTAAGATGAGATCCTTCTGCTCTTGCCCTTCTAGACCCGAGGAAAGTTGTAAGTGATGAGGCTAGGGATGTGCTTATGTCATCCGCTTCAAAGTCAATTACACCACAGTTTGCTTTTAAAAAAGCAAGCAACCACCTGGATCAACCGCCTCTCAGCCAGTTTCGACATTCCTGCTATTGTGGTATACTGTCTATTCCGCCAAAGCGCGCACGATCACATGCTTCGGACGCGGAGTTAAACAGAATAACCTCCTCACTCGGTTCTCTTACTCCTTGAGACCTCACTTTGATAGAAAGGGGTCGCGGACACTGACAGGCAAACAGAGAGATGATATTGGATTCAACAGCAGTCATCTGATGTCGCGCAGTTTCTTGTTTCCTCACCCACCCCCTTGCTTTTCTAACGACTCTTGAAGCCTCTTCGCGAGGTGGGCACAGGCCTTAAGGAAATCACGTCGCGTCTGCCATGAAAAGCCATCCTCAAGGGGAGATATGGAGTGCAGCAGAAATTTCCGCCGCCGACAAAGTCTCATCGCCCTTCAAGTATGTCAGGTGCACCTTTGGTCACCTTTGTTTCGCCCTTGGACGCTTAAATCTCGATCTATTCCTTTGTCCCGGCCCCTCGTGGAATGGCTGCAGGTAACAGGCATCTTTGAATCTATACCTCCCTCTAGCCATGATAACCACAGTGTTTATTTCAAAAATAGTACTCTAAATTACATTTGTAGTGCTTGATCGGTTTTCCAGCAATTTTGTTTCTGCCTTTCATGCATCCTCAACAGGCAGACGGGATAGTCTTGCCAGATCACGTTTCCCTGACCAGTACTGACGGAACGAGCAGTCAAACATATTCAGACAATGAGAATGAAGACATTGGATGGCGAAGAGGCGATGACCGTCATAGTGATTCGTCTCCTTCGTTTCTTTCTGCGTTCGAGCTGGCCTTGACAGAAGCTCTTGCGGAATTGGGCGGACAAGCTGTCCCAAAGATGAATTGGAGCGTGCCTTGCGATGCAGCCTGGTATGTGGGAGGTGGGATAGTTTTGATGGCTGACTCATTATGTTTCTTCGTCACACAGACGCTGCTATTCAAGCAGGACTCTTGCCAATGGCCTGTATTTCCCTGAAACATCCGCTGGGAACATAGACTCCTCGGAGAAGTAGAAGGCAGGGAAGGGCATACGCCTTACTACTCTGATCGTTTACCTTTGTGTATTTATTTACTTAACGGCTGGACAGGATCAATGGTGGGACTTTAAAGTGCGAGACCCCCGGTGACATCATGCTCCTGCTCAAGAGCTCCGATCGCGTTCAGGAGGATCTGAATCGCCTCCTTAAAACGGTGAGAAAGGATGTCGACGAGTCAGGTTACTTAATGGGATGACATGTGGCTTGTAAACCGCTGTCGATTCTCACAGACGTGATCTTGTGCATCTCCTCGCCCATTTCCACCCAAACTGCCTCTTTCTGTTTCGGCAGTCCGCGCCACCCGACATTCCTTTTAGATTCTCGCCCACGCTGACGCTCCGGAAATGGGCGACCCTGCTCCCCTTTATGCTTTTTCGCTGCTTTATTTACCGTTCCTCTCTCTGCGCCATCAGCCAGCGGGAGCCTTCTGCCTTCTATCCCTTCCTCGCTGCTCAAGAGTCTCGCCTGAGCACGCTCCTTTATGACTTCTTCCAGCACGAGGGAAGAGAGGGGCTTACGGGCCTTCAGAGACTATTTGAACACGGAGAAGGGACAATGAAGGATGAAGTGAAAGGAAAAGGAGGACTGGCTGAAGAAACAGATATGGAAATGGGAGGAAAAGAAGGACTGGCTGTATGCGTGGACGTGTATGTGGACCGACGGGACAAGGTCTGGGTGCTTGACGTAGCTCCTTGGGGCCCGCCTACCGATTCGTTGCTATTTGAGTGGGTCGAGGCGTATGCAGAGGATGACAGTGGGGGACATGTGCCATGGAAGCTCGATTCGATGGATGGTCGCCAGGGTATTTCAGCGGGAGGAAAGGAGCATGTGATCTATCGGGTAGGAGACGGAGACATCTCCATAAAGCCGGACCCTTGGTCTTCATGCCGCGTCCCTTTGGAGATGAAGGAGCACATGGTGGAAAAGGTTTTGACAGATACAAAAAATAATGGAGAATCCGAAGCATCAGAGATATTGGATTTGCAAGCGATTCAGCGGACAACGCTCAGAGAGCAAAGAGGAGGCGAGAAAGCGGATAGCAGCGACAGTACTGATGATGGTGCAGGTATTGCACGCATAAATTTACTTTGAAAGTCAATAGTGCTCTACCTGCTAGTCAATGGTAAGTGTTTTTCTGTGGAAACAACCATCTTGCTTTATGCGAGGGTCTATGGCGCCTTGAACAACAAAAGCTTCGCACGGCTCCATCTATCTGCGCCAATGACGTACCTGTCGGCAGCTGAGAAAGCGCAAAAAAGGACATTATCAGTCGAGATGGCAACAGCAAGCGAGTAGAATGGAATGCGAACCCACTGCCACGCCCACTGCCACGCCCACTCCCTCGCCTACTCCCATGCCCACGCCGGCGCCTTGTCCTTGATCATCGTGGAGCAGTGTTTTTAAAAATGTTGGGAAGCCACAGCCACCGCCACACCTACTACGTCGCCGACAGCCACACCCACC